CGTAATTTCGCCACACGGTCTGCCCACACACTAGAAGCAATCATATCGCACGATACCACCGATCATCCCGCTCACCAGCGACACACCGCGTTTACACCAGCGTGTTTCGCGCTCCCCAGTGGATCGGCGCCACGCAAGCGCACTTTCCACGAAGGCCGCGCAAATCTGCATGGCGCTGCGACATCACGAACGTAATTTCACCACACGGTCTGCCCACACACTACAAGCAATCATGGCCAATCATCCCGCTCACCAGCGACGCGCCGCGTTTACACCAGCATGTTCCGCGCTCCCCAGTGGCACGGCGCCACGCAAACGCACTTTCCACCAACAAGGCCGCGCAAATCCGCATGGTGCTGCGACATCACGAACGTAATTTCGCCACACGTTCTGCCCACACACTGCAAGCAATCATATCACGCGATACCACCAGTCAGCCCGCTCACCAGCGACGCGCCGCGTTTACACCAGCATGTCCGCATGGCACTGCGACATCACGAACGTAATTTCGCCACACGGTCTGCCCACACACTAGAAGCAATCATATCACACGATACCGCCAATCATCCCGCTCACCAGCGACACGCCGAGTTTACACCAGCGTGTTTCGCGCTCCCGGCTCGGCGCCACGCAAACGCACTTTCCACCAAGACCGCGCAAGTCCGCATGGCACTGCGACATCAGGGACGTATTTCGCCACACGGTCTGCCCACACACTAGAAGCAATCATATCACACGATACCGCCAATCATCCCCCTCACCAGCGACACGCCGCGTTTATAAACATCAGCATGTTTCGCGCTCTCCAGTGGCACGGCGCCACGCAAACACGCTTCCCACCAAGACCTCGCAAATCCGCATGGCACTGCGACATCACGAACATAATTTCGGCCCACACACTAGAAGCAATCATATCACACTAGAAGCAAAAAAACTTCTGAGTCCAGCTCCGCAACGCTGTTTCCCGCGTTACATTTGCACTACAAACTGGCCACTTCTGAGTCCAGCTCCAAAAAGCTCTTTCCCGTTCTACATGTGCACTACAAACTGGCCAGGTCTGAGCCCAGCTCCGAAAAGCTCTTTCCCGTACTACATTTGTACTACAACCTGGCCACTTCTGAGTCCAGCTCCGAAAAGCTCTTTCCCGCACTACATGCGCACTACAAAATGGCCAGGCCTGAGTCCAGCTCCACAAGTGAAGCGCCAAGTCTCCAAAATAAACGTTTCGTACGAGACTTCTTCCAAAAGTGAAGCGCTAAGTCTCCAAAACGAGCGTTTCGTACGAGACTTCCTCCAAAAGTGAAGTGCCAAGTCTCCAAAACGAGCGTTTCGACGAGACTTCCTCCAAAAGTGAAGCGCCAAGTCTCCAAAACGAGCGTTTCGTACGAGACTTCCTCCAAAAGTGAAGCGTGAGCAATCCAAAACGCAATCTCACCTGCATTTCGCGCCCTCGACGCGCACGATCTCCACAGAGGGTTGTGCGGGAACGCCGTCTCACTTGCATTTCGCGCCTTCGACGCGCATGATCTCCGCAGAGGGTTGCGCGCGCCAAATACAAAACGCGATCTCACCTGCATTTCGCGCCCCCGACACGCACGATCTCCGCAGAGGGTTGCGTTTCGTGGTGCTCCGGCGGCGCCGACCCCGGCCTTAAGAGAGAAAGAAAAGAAGAGCGACAGGATACGCAGATGTGAGATGCGCAGATGTCAAGATGTAGATGTGCAGATGTGAAGATGTGACGATTTAGATGTACAGATGTGATTATGTGCAGATGTGAAGATGTGAAGATGAGCAGAGATGTACATGTGCAGATGTGAAGATGAGCAGAGATGTAGATGTGCAGATGTGAAGATGAGCAGAGATGTAGATGTGCAAATGTACATGTGCAGATGTGAAGATGTGAAGATGTAGATGAGACGTAGTTCTACAGATGCTTTTTTTACGAAAAGCCCTTCGCAGACGCTCTCGGGAACAAGCGGAAATGGTGGAACCTCGGAACTCGGTCGGCTGTCGGACCTTGCACGAACCCTAACCTCGACCCTCGATCACAAATGATTCAGCTCAAGTTGCAGCGCCTCTATTTGCTCTTGGAGAACCTGAACTGTGGCTTCCAAATGAATCAGCGGGCTATCCACGCACCTTAGCAGATCCCAAAGCAGCCTGAATCAGGAAACGCCTGAAGGCCACCGCTGCCTCTAGCAAAGGGCCTAAAAGGAGGCCAATGAGGATGCCCAGAACCAAACTCTGCAGGTGAATGTCAGTCCAGCAGCCGGGCAGATCAAATCGTATGGCGGCACGGGCGAATCGAAGGCCCTCAACAACTGGGTCCAAAGGGCGAGCGAAGTTCCCGCTCCTAATCCCGAGGTCAACGCCGGGTTCATACACTTGATCACGAAAGCGCTGTGAGCAGCTTGAGTGTACATGAGGGACATATATCTAACTATAACTAGGAAATCAATAGAAATTAAAAAGGAAATCAAAGAGGACATCAATGAAATCAAAGAGGACATCAATAAGAATTAAAGGGAATTTACAAGGAAATCAATCGGAATCAATAGGAATTTAAAAGGAAGGAATTTAAGAGGAAATCAATAGGAATCCAAAAGGACATCCATAGGAATCAAAAGGAATTGAAGAGGAAATCAATAGGAATCCAAAAGGAAATCCATAGGAACCAAAACGAGTGTAACAGGAAATCAATAGGAATCAAAAGTAATTTACAGGGAAATCAGAAGGAATCAAGACATGTAAAAGGACATGAATAGGAAACACACAGAATTTAAAAGGAAATCAGTAGAAATCAAAAAAGTTTGGTATGATTTGTATAAAATCATTCAATCGCCTACAGAACATATAAGATAGAACATGCAACCTGAAGATGTATGTATATATATATATGTATGTATATGGGGTGTATACGGTGTATGCATATAACTAGGGAATCAATGGGAATTTACAAGGACGTCGAAAAAGAAATCAATAGGATTCACAAGGCATTCAAAAGGAAATGAATAGAAATCAAAAGGAATACGAAAATAAATCGATAGGAATCAAAAGGAATGTTGAAGGAAATCAATAGGAGCTGGTTTCCTAGCATCCAGGATCCAGTGGACGTTCTAAGTTATGTATACTGCGTAAGGCCTTGGGAGGAACATGTACTTAGAACATCACAGCCATCCGCTTAGAACATTGGGGGCAAATTTGGCTGCGATGTTCTAAGAGCATGCTATTCATGTTCTAAGTTCCAATGTTTCAAAATAGCCGTTTCTCTGATGTTCTAAAATAGTGCGCTTTCTAAAATCCACATGTTCTAAATTTCACTGCGTCATTCATATAGATGCTACCGTCGTGGCAACAGACTGCATCTACCAGCTCAGCTGGTCCACGGGGGGACACTGCTAGCTCTCTGGCTCTCATTAGAGAGACATGCTTAGGATGGAGTATGTATAGTCTGCATGCCACATGCCCTGAGGAAACCTTGGCAATCAAGAGGCATAAAGAGACAGGGCCAAGTACAAATGTCAGCGGTGTCCGACCGTGAAAGCTTCAATTGGCCCAAGAGTTCCAATCTCAAATCTCAAAGCTTCCAAAAAAGCATCGAAGGACGAGCGCAAGTGTGTCAAAAGCACAGCATTAGACTGTATATGATACATCTGCAGGTGCAGGAAGGTGATCAGCCTTTCCTTCCCGTGTGCCCCTGCTAACTGGTCGAAAGACTCCCTTTGATTTCAATGGTCACACACAAACACACCACTAGGAATTCGCGCAAGAATCATCACAAACCACCCGGGCACTGGAAATGATAACAAAATCACAACAAATTCGTTCAAGTCACCACAAATCGCCATCAAAACCAATCCGCTGATTCACAATAGACACGCAGCGTCACACACGACACTCAACTGATTTTCTTCCCACTGGCTCGGTCGTCTTGAATAACTTCCCCGGGACATTGCTTGTTCTTATGAGGGAACGGGTTGGAATGAGAGCTTGAATGAAGGCAACTGTGAAGTTGCAAGAACACCATACATGGGTACTCTTCCACAGCATTGGGCCTCGTCTAAGAGCTGCCGGAAACAATGTGGGGCATTTCCGACCCAAAGCAATTTCCCAGCCCGTTTGGGGTACCAACAAACCAGGAGGCAATAGTGTTACCACTAACCACCACGACAAAGTGGAAAAGGATCTCAAAGACTAGCCCCGTAAGAAGTCACAAGAGGCTTCTGGGCAATTGAGGTGCAGCAGGACCAACAAAGAAGATGCATTTGCGCTGCAGACTAGGCATCTTGTGTGGCAAGTAAACAACAACAACACCTGCTCAATGCCCTGCAAAGGGAACACGTGCAGGGCCCTGCATACAGCCACACTCTGGAAATAAACAGCATAAATCTAAAACAGCGTGCACGTACGTAGGAACATGTTGAAAGGAAACTAATTGCAACACACACTCACATACTCTAAATAGGCTCACTGATAAACATATAAACATGGATCAACCATCCTGCCCTGTTCTACCCTTAGTCTCCCACAAGGTAGCCTCGCGTGGATGGATCCTCAAACCTGGCGTACTTAGGTTCACTGACGCCTTGAACTCTCCCACTCTCCCAAGCGAGCAAAGCGTGCGGGCGCTCGATGCATTCAGAGAGAAGGTCAGCAATGTCTTCAATCGTGTAACCATCGATCGTCGCCAGTCTAGCATACTCACCAAGTACCCAGGCAATGACCTGAGAATGGAGTGTGGGGCGAAAAGGAAGAGGCAACGAGTTGGCCAACTAGTTGAAAGGTTTGGCCAGCAAGCCAAGTAAATTTCCAAGCCTGAACCAAAATGTCCGATAAAGTCGGCTTCTCGAGGAGCTGAGCAAGAGCTGGTTGAAGAAAGAGTGGACATATGACATATAGGACTTTATGTAAATGTAAACATTAGCAAGTGCAGTGCTCCTTGAAAAATATTCAAACCATGTCCTTCACTTCCAGCCTTGAGGTAGGTATTGACAGCAAAAACCCTGAAGGCTGTGTCTGCTGACTCATCCTCCCCTGCACCTTCGGCCACCAAGCGCCTGAGCAAGATAGCCTGTAGGCACTCAAACCACATCACCATGTTGAATACAGTACAGTGCTTTGTTTAATCTGCTCGCATCGCCTTGTCAGTGAAAGGGTGTACTTGAACTTGATCAGAATTAAGCATGATTAAATCGATTCTAGGTGTTGGAAATGCCAATGACACAAGTCGTAGTGGAGAACGGAAACGTAAAAAGCATCAAGAGCTGTAGTAGGTAGGTAGAAATTTCAGCCATCATAATTTTTGCATCTCTGGAGATCCTGAAACTCAATGAGAACACAAACTGCTAGGCACCGGCCTCTACATTGCACAGTGTTATTTGATGCAATTCCGCTGTGGCAAAAGTGAGAAAAGAAGTGGGGTAACCACAACGAAGCGAAAGAAACAGTACAGGTGCCCCATGGGGCACCGTACCGCGAAGCGGCAGGGCAGGAACATTCCAAGACTTATATATATGAATTCAGAATAGGTTCACGTAACAAACGTGACTTTAAGATTGCCACATAAGGTTGTACGCGGTCTCTGCGGGCACCAGTTCCCCACTCAGCTCGAACACTGTGTTCATGGTGTTGACATACCTGCGGGCTTGCGCTCAACACCCGGCCAGCCGGGTGGGTGGCAGGGGCAAACAGGTGAGACGTCGCGTTGTTGTTGTTGCGGTTGTTGTTGTTGTTGTGGTGGTGGTTGTTGTTGTGGTTGTGGTTGTGGTTGTGGTTGTTGTTGTGGTTGTTGTTGTGGGTTGTTGTTGTGGGTTGTTGTTGTGGGTTGTTGTTGTTGTTGTTGTTGCTGTTGCTGTTGCTGTTGCTGTTGCTGTTGTTGTTGTTGTTGTTGCTGTTGTTGTTAAGCCTCTTTCCAGACAAGAGCACCTTGGATTGCTCTGACGGACCATTCCCTCGGTGCTCGTACATGGGCAGCTTCCCTGGCTGCTGACACGAGCACGCTGACTGTGCGCCGAGCTGCTATCCTTCCTGGTCCGTGGAGATTTCCCTGCATCAGATCACTGCGGCCCTGGATGCACATTCGTGTAGCGGGTTGGTCCCTAGTCCTTTTGCTGTGCACCTTTTCCCTGGAACCACCGTCCCAAGTCGGTGGACTGCGGTCCCCTCCTGATAGACCTAGATTCATCGAGACCCGCAGTAGAGGTGAGGGTTGTGACACGGCCATGAGTGTCACGGGAGTAGCTAGAGATGAGTGGAATCACCAATCTCATGGTTATGCTACGAAAATTTTACATGGCATCACGCCCAATAGGCAAGACCATAAATTGGTCTCCAATCACAAGCCCAGCTTCAAGCGAGCCGTTCGTAGAGCTCAACTCGAAGGATATGCATGGTTTCGTGGCAAGTTGTTCGACGCTAAAGCTCTTGGTACCAGCGTTGAACAGAAACGGTCATCCATCTCACCTTCCCAGGTTTGCCCCTCCTACCAGCCACGAACTGACTCGAGGAACCGTCTTCATCTTTTCAGCTGGAATTGCAGTGGCTTGAGCCGCACCAAGCTGGACGAGATTCTCCTGTGGGCCAAACCACAACCTATACAGCTCCTCGCCTTGCAGGAAACTAGATGGCAGGACACTAAAGAGTGGTCAGATGACACCTGGCGCTTTGTTGCAGTTGGGGGTCTTCCCCGACAATCCACAGGAGTTCTTCTGGCTATACGCAGGACCTGGTGTAGCTTGGACCAGATATCTTGGCGCAGTCTTTGGGATGGCCGATTGTTGCATCTCCGCATCCACCTTGCCCGCCCTCTAGATGTTCTGAACTTCTACCAGAAAACCTATCAGAATAACCCCCAAGATCTTGCACACCGACATGAGGTCTTTCGTGCCTTGGATGATTGCCTGTCCTCCCTGCCGACTAGGAATAACCTGCTTTTACTTGGGGACTTTAATACTTGCCTGTCATTGCACACACCCAATGTAGGCAGTACACAGTTCCGATGTCGCGATGGTGTCCTCAGAGAAGGACCTGCGCAAGCCGACCAGGCACGTCTTTTGGAGATACTTGTCCAACATGGATTGTGTGCACTCAACACGATGAATCAGGCTCTCCCGGCCACTTTTTATGGCCCTAAGGGTCTTGGCTCTCGGATTGACTTTGTTTGCACGCGCCTCAAGCAGATTGACCATGAAGCCAAACAATGTGCACCCATCCCGAGCTGTCCCTTGCTGGGCACCTCCACTCAGGGTCATATTCCCCTGATTGGTTCGATGACTTTGACTTGGAAGCCATGGTCTGGTGCTGCTCTGAGCAGCATTAGCTATGCACACCGGACACGAGGCCGTCTTGCTAGGTCCCAGAATACGAAGGAATGGACTAACTTTCGGACTAGGACCTACACACACCTTGCTCGGACTCAATGGCCCTGTAATGGTCAATTTCAATCCTTTCATCAAGACCTCAATGACATTTTTGTTCATTCATTTTCTACCACTGCTGACAGACTCTGTCACCTTGGGCAGGTCACTTGTCTGGCCACTTATCGATTGATTCGCACACCCAGATGCCTTAACCTCGGTTCAGTGTTTGAGTATTGAAAATGGATCACCCACCATAGGCGCCTCCATCGAGAGCAAAAGACCGCTTCGACTCAGGCCCGGCAGAATCGTATTGATCAGTTCCTGTCTGAGGCACGTGTGGCTGCTGATCGACAGGATCTAAGTAGATTGCATCAACTTGTTCGGAAGGTCAGCCCCAAAGAAAAGACTGCCCGCATACAGATTCGCTCTGCTGCTGGCATGATTCTCAGTCCACTCGAAGAGTTTACGCACATCAAATGCTTTGTTCAAGCAACTTGGCATGACACTCCACTCCCATTGTATCCTGCCTTGGGGGCCCCAGGTGTACCATTCAGTGCTGATGACCTTGAGAGAGCTTTCGCTAAGCTGGCATCGTTGAAAGCTAATGCACCAGGGACTTGTGCTTCGCTTAGCATCTTGAGTTGTCCGGCTCTGTGTGCCCAGAAGCTGTTCTCCCTCCTCATGCAATGGTGGAACCAACCTTCTCCTTTTGTTCCGAATGAGTGGAAAAACGGTCACTTGTTCTTACTTCCCAAACCCGGCAAACCCCCGAATGATGCCAAGAACCTCAGGCCTTTAGCACTCCAGGATGTGTTTGGCAAGGTTGTGCTTGGTTTAGTTGGTGCACGAGCTAGACAATCGGTGCTTCCCTCGCTTTGTTCCACTCCCCTCAACTAGCATACCTCCCGTCTCGGGGCACAGCTGATGCTATTGCCAGAGCTACGGAGCATTGTCTGATGGTGGCAAAGTTAGCACGGCAAGCGCAACGACCAGTGGAGAAGCAAGCAACTGGTTTGGTTGGGCATTCTCTTGTAGGTGGAGCTCTCCTCAGCTTGGATTTGAGTAAAGCTTTTGACAGTGTTTCCAGAAGCCACTTGTTTCAGGGCATGGCTGCTCTTGGGGTACGACCTGATTGTTTACACCTGTTACATGAATGGCACAGGGGGACTCATTATGACATCAGTCACAAAGGCTTCTCCGCTTCCATACCTGTGTACAGAGGAGTCCGCCAGGGCTGCAAGGCTGCTCCTTTCCTCTGGTGTTGTCTCACGACGCTCATTCTGCACAGACTAGCTGAGCGTACATCATGCAATTGGGTCACACAGAACATCACCATCTATGCTGATGACTTCTTGGTGCACCAGACCCTCTTTTCGTTGGATGATCTGAATGAATTTACTCACAACTGTGGTGTACTTTTGGATATTCTGAAAGATTTCCACCTCCAGATCAATATTCAGAAATGTTTTTCCATGGTGTCACTACAGGGGACTGCGCAAAGGAAGCACAAGCCAGACATCTTAAACGAACAAGCCAAGGCTGGCACATTTGTTTTCCACGCACAAGTATGGGGCCCGCTCTAGTCGCTCTCCACACTGTTGTTCCGTATTTGGGGATCAAGCTGTCTTACAAAACCATGCAGAGCAGCTCACTCCAACATCGACTACAGTGTGGGCTCCGTGCGTTCCGACGACTTCGAACATGGCTCTGCTCAAAAAAGGGGCTCTCCTCCAAGCAGAAAGAATCATTGTGGAGTTCAGTGGTCAGAACAACCACTTTGTACAATCTCCATGTGGTTGGGTGCAGTGCAGCAGGGCTCAGACAGCTGATCTCTCAACTCACGTTGCAGCAGAGAATGTTTATGCGTGATCATTCACATGACACACATCGGACACATGCAGATTTTCATGCAATACATCAGATTCTTCCACCTGCTGTTTTTCTCCGACGGGTCTGTGTCCGCACTCTGGAAGGCAGGGAAGCACGTCTCTACACGCTTGACTCCACAGACATTTTACATCAGATCCAGTTTAGTGAAACTGCACAGTTGCTACTTCAGCTGGACCAGTGGATCAACTCGCAGGCGCACTCTCCACCATTGACCTTGCGATTCCAGTGTCGTACCTGCCTTGGAGAGTTTCAGAGCGCTACCACTTTGGCTCGACATGAACATATGGCCCATGGTAGAAGTCATGCTAGATTGGTTCAGTTCAGGCTGCAACGAGACGCTCTAGCTGGTCTCCCTCAGTGTCGCCATTGTGACAAAACTTTTGGGTCGTGGACCAATCTTCGAACCCACATTGAATTCCTCAATTGCCCCATGTTTGATGGCACTCAGGTCCTTGACATGGAGGTGGAGCAGATTCAACGTCGCATTGTTCCTTTGGTGCAAGATCCAAGTTTGCATGAGCTCACTCATTCACAAGACTTGTGCAACTACATGCTCACGCACTGCTGCCTATGTGGAAAGCACCAATCACGGTTCTCTGACATGATTCACCATCTTCAATTGGCCCATGGCAACATTGCGTTGACGAGTCAACTGCTATATCGCACTTGGGTCTCCAATCGACGCTCTCCGTGTGATGTCTGTCAGGTCCAGTATAGCACCTCTCATCAGTGCAAGATTCTTCTTCAGGCGGCAGTCATTCACCAATGGCATCGATTCTCCACTGAGGCACCTCGATCACACGCCCAACCTGGACCAGCTGATCGGACACTCGAGGACCATGTCTGCATCCATTGTGCTGAACTCTTTCCTACCAGGGCTGCACTTGAGCAACACCTCCGAGGTGATCATCCTCGTTTCTGTTGCTCTCGGGACACGATCCATGGGACCACGGTGTGTCGCCATTGTGGAAGCCATTTTGGGGAGCTGTGGGAATTGCGACGCCATATCGATCGTGGGTCTTGTGATCAACTGGACCCTCTTGGTGACCAGGAGCTTGGCACGGTTCTCCGAAGCGACGACTACTTCATGCCCTTGATCAAGGCTGGCAAATGGGGGGAGGCAGTCCGAGAGTCAGCTATGAGACACCAATTGACCATGATGTGTTCCTTCTGTGGACAAGCCTACTCCCGTACAGCAGACTTGGTACGGCATCTTCAATGCCATCATGGGGGATTCTACAGAGAAGCTGATCTTATGAGCAATTTGATGGATGAAGCCAAGATGCCATGCATTTGCAATCCGTGCAGGATCCCTCAGCCAAGATCCCACCGGTGTCCCACTTATCGACAACTGGCCATGCTCCAATACTTGCTCGACCCCAGACATCGGAAGCTCATACTTCCCTGGACCATCTCTCCGGAATCCCTGCACAAGTTGATCCAGCTCCATGCCGCCCTGCATGCACAGGTCCCAGATCTGGCTCCGTGGCTTCAGTGCCCGGGCGAGACCTCATGGGAATTCCTTCTTCGGTACAGTCAGACCCTCAGCACCACGTGCACACTGTGCTCACGCAGCTTTGAGACCGGCATTCAGTTGTTTGAACACCTTCTTCAACAGCATCGATCTCAAAGTGGACACAATGGCTTTCTCCTACATGCGCTCTACCGTTTCCTCTTGGCTCAACGGCCTGCCTTGTGTGACCCACTTCCATGCCCTTGGTGCCACACCACTCTCAAGGACTATGCCTTAGAGGACGACAGTGTGTGGGCTCTTCTCACACACAAGTGTGCATCACTCCTCAACCTCGGGTGTGCTCTGACGCTTCTTCGTCCTGATCATCAGGATGGACGAAGTGATGGCAGTTCAAGAAGGAGACCGGCTGAGTCAAGTGGGCCTAGCATTCTTAAATATGCTCGCATCACCGGACGAGCTGGAACAGGAACTTCCTCAGGAGAAGCGCCATCAGAGAGATGTGGCCCTGCTGTCACAGCCACGAAGGAAACATCAGAGGCCCTCCTCTCCTCACAGCAGCTCGACCTCGTCCACGAGAAGCGAAGAGAATGGTCAGGTCATGAAACTATGCAGGGTGATGGGCCAGCTTCTGATTCGGCACGAGGATTCCCTCAACTCGGTTTCTATGCAGGACTCGTTTGCGCTGTTCTTCCAACAGGGGAACTCTGGAGTCTTGCCCCTCCTGCTCCGCACAGCAAAGCAATGGCACGACCTTCCTGCAGATCAAGCCATGATTCCCTTGCGCTCCTACCTGATTCAGGCTGTGATCAACGAGTTGACCAACCGGTTCCAGAAACTCAAAGCTCAGCTATCAGACGACTCCACCAAGCAGGCGGCGATCAAGAGCCTGACCATATTGGAAGACTCCAGCTTCCCGCACCTCATGTGGCATCCTCAGCACAAGCGCTTGGTCATCAGTCAGACCGCTCCCATCTCCTGGTCCAGCATGGAGGCACACTTGGGCATCATACAGCAAGCATTCTTGGAACCGGCCAACTGTGTCCGCTTCTTCGCAATGGCTTCCCAGCAGAGTCGGAGCGAGGTCATTCCTTGGAAATTGCAGATATCCCTTCGCAACGATTCCCTCTCGAGCCTCCTACGCCAGTTGACGGGATCCGCCCTATGGCACCTGATCGGCGCAAGGCTGAAACAACATGGACTGCAGAGGTCCAAGCTGGCACAGGACATTCAGAGGGTCCTTCGACCTCAAGGGGGGAAGAAATGAAAAGGCAATGGATAGGGGACTTGTGCAGCATGGTATGCGCCAACGATTCCAATTGGTGCTATGCCAATGCGGGGTTGGTGACCCTGCTTTGGACCTCGGTGCACTCAGCCTCATTCAATGAATATACCTATGGCCACGTCTGGACCGTCACACAGGGGTTGCTTCGATCCACAAGGGTGGATGAGACAATTGCTCTGCATAGCCATCCGGCTTTGACAGACCTCTTTCAGGGGACACCCTCAGGGGAACAGAGGGACATCGCTGAGTTTGTGAGTGAGGCCCTGGCATGGTGTCGTACTACCCAGATCTCTCAGGCTTGGGAGCGACGCTTTGAGAACTCAGAAGGCTGTCACTGCTATGAAGCTGGCAGTGATTTTCAGCCCGTGGCACTGGTCCACCTCTACGAACTTGATGCGGAAAAAGTTGCTCTGCCCGACCTCCTGGTTCCATGGCTTGAGTGCCATTCGATGGCAACTGCTTTCACACATCATGGAGGTTTGAAAGTCTTCTTCTTGGATCGCTTGATCGACTCGACTCGGCTGTTAGGTCATTTTCATCATGTGGAGTTCATGGAGCCCTTCTCGCTGCCGATCTTCCTTCGAGATGGTCTGGCCCGCAGCTGGGTATCTCATCGTGTAGTGGCAGTGGTTGCGCATCTGGGGAACTCGCTTCATGGACACTTCCGTGCTCTTTTGATCGATCCCATCACGGGGAAGAAGTGGCTGTGTGAAGACAACCAACGCCCTCAGGAAATCATGGTCATCCCAGAGTATTTTCACACCCGAGGTGTCCTGTTCTGGACCCTGCCATGTCAGGACCTGGATTTGGAAGACTCGGATGCAGATGGTATGCAAGGATTGACTCCTTCCTCCGTCCCTTTGAACCTAGGTCATGAGACGCTTGGAACTACTTGCCCTGTGCCCACCCATGACCAGGCCATCACGGCCTCACCTGAGGAGGAAGCGTCTTGGGAGCCTCGGCCTTTTCTTGAGGGGCTGACAGCTGCGCATCCTAGCTTGGACTTGGATGCACCTGGACCCATGCTTGGTTTGCCTTTGAGAGATGATTCTGAGGGCCGTGCCTTGGAGAATAGTTCCAGGAGTGATACCGCCACTTGGCCTCAATCTCATGCAGTGCAGGAAGTTGCCCCGAGCCAACCATTGGAAGAGGACAGTGCCTTGGGTGAATTACTTCAGCGCCTGCAAGACGCTGATGCCTCCATCACCCGCGCCTTGGCTGCGGGACCTGCGCCCCTTGCTGATGAGTGAGCCTGCGGCTGCCGCGCGGACCTGCAGCCGCTCCTGAGAGGGGGGAGGAAAAGTCATTTGTTTGACTGACTGTTTTCCTTTAGCGAATTTTGAAGTGCTGTGATAGCTTTTCCGGTTTTCTTTTCCGGTGCTGATCACTTGTAGCTAGAGGATGGTTGAAGTGCCCCTGGAACCTTGGGCCACTGACTTTAGGTCGCTTTCACCTTGACTCTACACGTTTCCAGAGGTCAGGTGATAAATTTAATTGCTTGTGACATCCAAACGATCTCCGATCATATGATCCTGGAGTCCGGTCAACAAGGCATTGACCGAAGGGCGGCGCTACTCTCTCCCTGAGTGCGTGAGAAGAAGAAAAGTTGTTGTTGTTGTTGTTGTTGTTGTTGTTGTTGTTGTTGTTGTGTTTGTGGTTCTTGCTGTGGTTGTAGTAGTAGTAGTAGTAGTGGTGGTAGTGGTGGTAGTGGTCGTGGTAATAGTCACTATTGTTGTTGTTGTTGCTGTTGTTTGGGGTTGCGGTTGCGGTTGCGGTTGTTGTTGGTGTTGTTGTGGAGGTGGTTTTTGCCAAAAACTGCATCATTGCGCAATCGCATTCTCCTCCCAGCCTATTGCGCCTGACTCTCACAACTTTTAGAACTTTAGCAAGCAAGTCATAGGATTGGATAACCCCAATGTTAAAGCTTTTTGCAAAGCAAACATGGCAAACATGGCAGCTTAAAGGCAACGGCAATAGATTATAACTTGGTTAAGTGTAACTTTGGGACGGTGCAAAAAACTCAGCTTTTGCGTTCCCTTGGGGCCTCGCCATGGTCCGACTCCGATGGATCGTGGTGGCATGGTGGGTGACCCAGCGTGGAGAAGGATCGTGGGCCACCAAGGTCGAAGCATTACGGCTGAGGCACCCAAGTGGTGGGCGAATGAGACCAACCACTATGCTCAGGGTTCTTGGCAGGTGTGGAATCCTGGGTCTTGTGACGGTTTTGTGCAGACGCTGCTTGCATGACTCCGCCCTTTGCGGCTTCCTGGTTCGAATCAGTTTCCGGAGCTCAACGCGCTCGGTCCAAGTTGGGGGATGGATGTGGAAGGGGCAAAGGAGGCAGCTATCGCCTCAAGGGTTGAGCCGGACAATCCGACCCCTCAGGCCAGTAAGACTGTGCGGGAAAAGATAGGGGCTACGGACACCCACCTGTTGGAGGAGGACCGGGAGCACTGCCCTCGGTAAGGTATCTCCAAAAACACCTGGCACAACGCTGCTCAATGGTGGGCTGCAATCGCTTGGGCAATCCCAGCCGGCAATGGGTGTGTCCTGACCATGAAGAATTACGACGCACTACCGCGCCGCCAAGGAGGACCTCCACATCTTGTTTTACGGCAAGAGCACCACAGCCTCAGCAACATGCGTGTTGGACCATTCATGACGCGCCAGGGGCTGCCTACCCAATATCATGTGAGTCAGCAAGTCTGAATGTAGCTCTGGCCCAAGCTTACTCCGTCCACTATGGTCTCCTCTGGTGTCGGGCGCAGGGACATCGACGAACCTGGCATTCGTCGGGCTCACCCCTGGCTGGCACTAGGCCAGAAACATCTTGAGACCGCTGCGGTCTGCTTCTGGCCGTGTCAAAAGGACTGGCTACGATGCCCGCTGCCGGCAACTCTCGGCACTCAGCCTGCTCAAGCTTTAGCCACATCGTCAGGTCTTAATCAACGTTTGGCATAAGCCTCCTACGCTCGCTGCGAGCTGCGGTGTTCCCCGGCCAGGAGAATGAGACAATCCCTTGCCCAGCAGGGCCACAGCCTGGGCTGGCATGAAGCCAACCACACTCGGGATATTGCATAAGGAATTGAATACCTCACGCCACACACCCATCCAGGTGTGAGTGCCTAAGGATACAAGGGCCAAGATATGTAAAGCGGTCTGACCATGTGAGTCGCAAAGCTTGAAGTCTCCTTGTGTCAACTCAACGATCGAACACCCGACGAAGCGTGCAAAGTCTGCAGACCTGTCTCCACCCAACCAGCCTGAAATCTAAATTGGAGCGTGGCTTCTCAACGTCACAACCGGATCACGTTGCAGGTACTAAGAGTTGGCGTCCCAACTCTCTTCCAACTGATTTCCGTAGCTTCGTTGGCATGGATACGAAATCAGTCTCCGTGCCCCCTGCATTAAAACCAAAAGACCGAAAGGTCCCCTTTGACTCCAACACACACACACACACACATCGCGTACTATGCGCAGACAAACTCTTTGTAAAATGTTGTTTCTATTGGACACAACGGGCACAACAAACCGCTTGCACAAGCACAAACAAAGTTTTGCGTGGTGGGTGCCATTCATTGTCAGGAGCAAACCGCTCTGCCAGCGATGTGATCTTCTGAACTAAGTCCCTCCGAAGGTGTGAGTCCTTACAGCAAAAACTTGGCAGTCGCGGCGCTACTTTGCAAAATGTCATAGATAGCTTTCAGGCATCGGCAACACTGGTTCGCAGATGAAAAGTCAGTTTGTCAACCTTGGTCAAGCAAAAAATCAACGAGAAAAGCTTTTGACACAAAGAACTTGGGCGCAAAATGCCAGCTCGATAAGACAGCCACCCTAGCACATTGAATCATTCTTTCTGCATGTAAACATACTAGAGGGCGACAGGATGATCCATCCAAGGCTGGTGCCACCACCACAACGTTCTGTGGATTTGTCATTCTGAAAAGCCTACAATCAAGCACCACTAAGCAAAGAAACCCCACAGAATTCCAGAATCCACAGTAAACTGTATGACGCAGTACAACGCAGAAGAATGCACAAGTCACAAGACTAATCAAGCTCATGCGGCAGGTCCAACGTCTTTCGCTTCAAAGTCTCATCAGGGTCCTCTGACTCTGAATGTTTGCTTCATCTCAGCGCATTAGTCTGAAGGCACTCCTCCAAGCAGTCTACCACCACCATCTGATGCTCTGCGGCATAAGCCCTTTGAAGGAAAACTGAATGCTGAATGGGGTGGTCTCAAGAAAAGGACACTCTTTTGCTGACCTGCGAGTCCCCCTTACTTTACTCTTGTGAGACAGCCATCCTGGAATCCTCAAAACTGCAGGATCTGAAGAGCCCTTCACTGAGGACAGCACGGGTTCACTTGCACAATTTGAGCCAATCCAGTGACACCCAAGTACCGCAAGTTGTGATTTTCGCTGGAGATAAACCTGGAAAAGTCGGACCGTCAGACAAGCACGCGTCAATGTAATAGTTCGAAACCGTGCACGCATACACAGTGTGCGAAACCTTTACAGCCAGAGGGCAAAGCAAAGAAAGCGGCAACACAAAATTCTGGAAAGTGTCCTATTCCTGACATGCATAAACAAGATTGCCCTCAATGAAGTGACTTGTTAAATTACTCCGCCCAAAAGGCAATTACATATCTATCATATCTATCAAGCACCCTCTAACGACTACTCTACCGCAACGCTATGCAACACGGCGCCACGCTGTGCAACGCAAAGTAATTGCATCTGCTCCAGCCTAGATATGTTGGATGCAGCAAGCTCCAGGAGGCCATGATCAGGAAAAATTCTCGTGATGCACCTGACAGAGCTCCTAGTGCAAGACTTCTGTCCGGATATAATTTACATTGTACATATATTCACATGACTATTGCTTCCATGTGACTTGACACATTCGTAGATGATCGCATAGCCCACATTGACTCCACTGTCAGCTCGCCGCATGCATTCCTAGCATAGTCAGCATCTTTGGAGGTGAACTGACAGAATCCAAAACACATGTCATCAGAGGTGCCACCTGGAGTGCGCAGGTCAGTATGTGAGCTAAGATCGGCAAACGCACTCAAGCCGAGCTGGAGCTTTCTTTGAATAGCTCAGCGGCATCTTTCCCTGAAGGCTCCCAGGCTCCCAGAACCCTTCCCTCTGTTCGAAGTTTTGCCCTTTGGCTCCCTCGTGTCCTGTAGGATCTCGTACATATGTTCTGAAGCTGCTTTGTCAGCAGTTCCAAGAATGCTGAGAATGGAGAGGAGCTTCACCTGTGTTGTGAGCTTGACAAACTTGTTAATCACTTGTTATAACTCTACGCGGCTCCAGTGCACTGCATGACGTATGCACCTGGAGCCACGGTGCAGGCATCCGATGATAATCAAAATCGCGAGGAAGTCGGTGCTCAGTGATCTGCCTAAAGCCACTCAGCCCATAGAAACACAGCTGAGCGCTCAGTCGGTGGGATTCGCGGAAAAACAAACACTGAGAGCTGAGCACTGCTCTTTTGGGGTGCTGAGTGCGGTGCTTCAGAATGCTCACAAATGAAGGCACCAAATCTTTGCTAGACGCGGGATGAGCTTTGGCAATCTGGAGCAGTTCGAAGAGGAAACAAAAGACAGCTGAACATAACGATTCCCACATCAGAGTATGAATCCGGTATGAAAGTCATAGTATAAAGTCATTGCATTGTGGTAGTGCCAGCTCTTCGGCCAGGTGAGGCATGATGTATATTGTATACAGGTGATATTGCTGGGGACTTTTGCATCTGCATCAGTTTGAATCGCACTCAAGCATTCGAGCGTAAATAGTGAAAGTGGGATCCTGAACGAAGCAGGGGAAACATAGACAGCTCAACAAAAAAACAGCCAAGTCAGTAGTAAGCCTGGTCTTACACAAGCCGCTTTCATCTGACAAATCTTCCGTGTTCAATGGTTGTTTTTCTTTCTGAAACCCTTGGTCCACAAATCGACTTCAGCCTCACACAGCACATGGAGTGATGCACCCATAACTGAGGGATCTGGATCGCACAGGACTTTTCGAATCTGGTCCTGCAAAGAAAACGAGTCTCACGAATTTTGAAACGATGATCTCATGTTTTGTCTTGCCAATGCCTTCGTAAAAACTTCAATGTGATAAAGAGGTAGAAGTTTGCTGCTTTTAGATTGGGTCCGGATTTTTTTTGAAAATTTAAGCCTCTCGCTGTTTGGAATCTGCTGAAGTGGATTGACCCTCCTTCTGGTCCAAAACTGCCTCTGGAACAATTTTGAAGAACTTGTGGACGGCTACGATTGCCTTCTTCCGAACGGCCTGAGAAAAAGGAGCGGTGCAGCGCCGACGCTGGGGTTTTAGCAAAAACATTGCGCACCTCTTGCGGATGAGATAAGAGTTTGAAGACTAAGGGTGATATTGCTGGAATCATTTCCAAATTCACCTCAGTTCATCTCAGAAAACAATTTCTTTTGTGCGCTGCTTTAAGCGTGCCAGCGAGGCAAGTCGACAAACGGACGCAAGGGCAGAACACACCTGGAGAACCACAGGGAACACAAGGCAACGTCTATGTGATTTTTGATTCTATTTGGCGGGCGAGCCTCAATGTGGTTGGCACTCTGCAAGTCCCGCTGCATGGTGTTGATCAGTAGCAGCATAAGCTCGTGGTCTTTGTGAAGGAAAAGATTGCAAGTCAAGTAGCCAATCCTAACCAAGGTACAAATTCGTCGCTGAGGATAGTTACGATGTAAAAAGCTGCAAAGCGGCCCCACGCACTCTTTTTGTTGGACCACAAAGCCTTCAGGTTTCGGTTGAAACTGGTGTGCGTGTGTGTGCCACGCTCTGTTTCTAAGAGTTTCTTCACTCAGCAGGGGGTGCGAGGGACCGTGCAAGTCTGGCACTAACAAAGACGCTTGCACCGGTCTGTGATATCAACTCGGGACGCCGAGTTGACGTACCTGCGGAGTTGAGCGATTTTCAACAATATGGTTTCGCTGACCTTTTCACCTTTCCGTTGCGAGCAGGGCCATTTCCACAGGTGAGTTGCCAGGTCGTCTAACGCAGCATCGCCAAGCGCTAGCCGCTAATGCACCCGTGATCCAGCTTCTGAAATTTATGCTCATTCAGTTGAGATATATACAATAAGTGTGACCAGCAGCATCTTCCCACTTGGGTGTGCTGTGTGATCCCTACGGGGCGCCGAAATCAAAGCAGCTCACTTCCGACTCCTTCGTTTGCACCATGAGCCAGTTCCAGATCAAATCTGCTTTCATGAAAGAGCTGAAGGATACTGCCGAGTTCACGGAGATTCGTGCACTGAAAATGAGACGAGTGCACTCGTGATTCATGCACTAATTTTTCCAGATGCCAATTTTTCAATGTTCTAATGTCATTGACGTCGCGCCGTTTCCACATTTTAGTTTTTCCCGCCTTCGTCTTCATTCGTTTCACTGCCGGGGCGCCGCCGTTTTGCAGCGCTGCCGTCGCCGATGCAGTTCCCCTGGCCCTATCCACCTCACTTAGCACCGCAGCCGCCACAGATTTACCAGCAGGCACCACAGCTCATTCCCACGCCCCCCCAATGGACAACCAACACCACCAACCTGTCCAGTCGTTCACGTCACCACAGCTCAACCTCCACCACCGTCCGATCCATCTACCACCACAGTCGCCGTTCCGCAGATCCAGACCACCGCTTCACCACCTGCGCTTCAAGTATTTTTTGCGATCCAATGGGATACTCCCCAAGGCGTTTGGCAAACCCCTCAACCCTCACCGTTTTTCCAATCATTACCGCTCCTGCGCCACCAGTCCAACCTCCTATCCACCTGCAACCCCCACTCCTCAACCACCACCACAACCACAGCCACAGCCATGACCACAGCCACAACCACAACAACTACAACTACAACTACAACTACTGCTACTACTACTACTACTACTACAACGACTACGACTACAACTACAACTACAACAACTACAACTCCTACTGCTACTGCTACTGTTACCACTCCTTCTACTACTGCTAGTACTACCACTACTACTACTACTACTACTACTACTACTACTACTACTACGACCACCACCACCACTACCACTACCACTACTACCACTACCACTACTACCACTACCACTACCACTACCACTACCACTATACCACTACCACTACCACTACGACGACGACGACGACTACTACTACACTGCTGCTACCACTACTACTACTACTACTACTTCTACTTCTACTTCTACTTCTACCACAACAACCACCTCCACAGCAGCAACACTCACCTTCGCAGTCCGGCAACAACAACCCACAGGCCAAGCACCACCGCCGGAATCACCGACCCAGCTACCGATGCCCGCGCTGGCAAGGCCACCACCACTACTACGCAGGCAGAGCTTCTGGCCACGGCGTGTCTCCGGGTGGGCACGCAAGAAGAATCTGAGGCATTAAGGGGACAGCCAACCACCACAACACCTCCCGCTTCAGCTCAACCTTCAAAGCCTGATCGCGCCCCAACACAGATCTCGCACACCCACACGGCGACATCACGGGCGCCGCCACCGTCGCCATCCCTGTCACCACCGCCACCATTCCAGTCATCGGCGCACACACAACCAGACATCGCCGACTGACGAGAACCACCCCCCTCCGCCCGCCACACCCCATCTTACTCCACCGTCACTTCCCAGTCCCGCGTCAGACCACTCACATCGCTATCATCGCAGCACCATCAGTTTGATCCCCAATCCAGGCCAAAACTGACCCTCCGTCCCGACACACCCCCATGACACGACCTCCAAACCCTTTTGTCTGTCCTCCCAGCTTCGCCACAACACGAGCAAATCAAAATCTGGCTCAACTACCAAGCTAGCCAGCTGAGCCGCGGCAACACCCCATACCACACACACATTGCCCGCCTCTTAGTTGAAGCCAACCTGAACGTTTCCAACCTTCACGACTTCCACCGCTTCAGCCACATTGATTGGGACTATGACGCTGAACGTTGGACTCGACTCAACATCACTATTTTTTATTCCCATCACGCAG